GAACAATCTGCAATGTCTAATTTGCCTTAAAAGAGCCCACTTCTTAGCTGCTGAGATCAGTGCTCTGTGTCTTCTTCCGAGGAGCAGGGATGGGACCTACCAGCCAGGTAGGCCAGTTGCAGGTGGTGCATGTCAGCCCCCCCAGGTGTTCAGCCCTGTCTCCTGCGTGAAGGTGGTGTGTCCGGTTCAGATACATGCTCAGTGAGTGTTGCTTGTTAAGATCCAATAGGCCCACGTGGATTAGAACAGCCCTTTCTCCAGACGTCCTCATTTTCACATCTTTAACCAGACTGCACTCTATTAAGTTGAGTTCTGTTCCCTAGCATTTGTTTCTGTTGTACCAAAAAAAAGAAAAAAAAGAAAAAAGTAAGACATGTTTAGTGTTAACGCTGAGAAACTGCTTGGGTGGCTAGTTGGTATCAGTGTTTCTTTTAAAGCTTTGGCGCTAAGAGGGCAGAATTGAGTCTAGAGCAATGTGGGTCTCCAACTCTGATAAATCCCTGTTTCTAGCCCACAGCTTATAGCTTCAGCGATCTGGGGCCATAACAGCCAACTCTCCCAGCTCTGCCCTACAGCTCGCGCTGAAGGCAAATTTCTTGAACCGTTACTCAGTACAAAGCACTGAGCTCTGTCTTTAGGATTTATCCCTCAAGAGCAAATTTCTGGCCAGCTATGCTTATGCAACCTAACATAACTAAAGGAGCTAGAGTGGGAGGAGGCGGGATACATCCACACTGGGCCACGGGGAGGGAAGGCCAGTCCCAGGTAACGTCCTGGGACTGTAGGCCCCATCTAGCATTAGTTCTGCAGCAGTGGTACCACTTTTGATGGACACGTGTCACACAAACTTGCTGAACTAAGGTCGTAACGGGCAGTTTGTGTGGAGAGAGTGATCAGCCGGCCTGGCTCACGCTCTGGACTCCCCAGAGAGGCTCTCGCAGCCTCAGAGCTGCATCCCCGTGCCATGCATCTGCTCCAGCGTTTCTGCATGGTCACGTGAGCTTTAGGTCACGCGCTTTAAGTATATACGCCCCAGGACCCTGACTTCTCAGCTCGCTCTAGCCTGTGACCCTTCAAAACGGGGCCAGGATTAGTGCGAGGTGCTAGGAATTGCCGTCTCCCGCGCCACTGATCAGGGAGACAGACATTAATTAAAACAGGAATATCATACCAGGGGACAATGGTCTTGCCAAACTTTTTCCTTTTCCTCTCCTGTTCCTTCCACTCCTTGCCCGTGTGACCATGCTTGCTTCTCTGTAGATGCTAAGGGTTCCAGCCCTTTCCCCCAGGGCATGTAACCAGCCAATCAGAACACCACATCCTTTAGGGGAAGTAACCTGGCCAACGGGTGTCCAGCTCTGCTGGAGGGAAGGGGCCCAGGTCCTGCTGCCCTCTGGCCAGCCCCTGCCCCCACATCTATTACTGTGTCCATAGGAACAATAGGTAAGGGCTCCGTCTCTGTCAAGCCATGTAACAAGGACACGGTGGGCAAACGTCTGGCCCAGAGGCAGCATGTGGAAAGCAACTTGGGAGGAACAAGTTTATTTTGTATTGAATGATTTTTAATGAATGCAATATTAATCCTTGCAGATGAGCAATAATCATTAAAGTTAATTAAAACGATAAGACCACCTTGGAAGTCTGTCATTCTTGGTTGAACAGCACAGCTTCGTTAGAACCTGTTTTCTAGACCGGGACCAGTCCTCTAATTGTTCTGGATGGTGGGCCAGAGGGCCTTGGATTTGCCATCCTCTGATCTGTCTTACCCCTCCTCCTGCTGAGCTCTAACCAGGGCTCTCTGCTTCAGCCACCAGGTGGCAGATTTTCTCACGTCTGGTTTGTCACACACGGTCTCTGGCCAACAAAAGATGATAAATTGTAAGTCCACAACGCCTTTTCTGAACCCCTGTGTTTTGAAATTGAGAGTGTTCCAGACTTTTAGGAAACATACAAATATACAATATATTAGTCCCGATTTTTAACTATTTGTCCCACGTCCCGCGGCATTTTAAAAAAGTCCCGACACCTTAAGTTAGACCAACAGGGAAGACAAATGGATCAAGAGCTCGAATGTGTGAGTCCACCTTGAAAGATGCTCAGAAGCAGGTCTGGAACAGATGAGCTTGGAGGAGGAGGAGGACGTGAGTTACGGGCTGGCATGGTGAGGAGGAGCTTCATGAAGACCCAGCTGCCCGGAAGAGGAAGGAAAGGCTGGCCAGGAGCGGGGCTGCGGACACATACCACGTGCAGAAAGGGAAGGGCTCACAAAAGGCATCTCTGGTCCACTCCCGAGGCCAGCGTACAAACACTGACTGCCATCTGTGACTCGGCTGTCTCGCGGTAGCAGTCAGCATGTCCATGGGGGAGTTTCTGATACCCAGCATCCAAGCAGCCCCTCTGTTCATGGCCATTTCTGGATCACTGCCAGAAATTTTATTCTCTCGGGATGGGGTTTCCTGACCCCTACACAAGGCTCAGTCTGACAGCTGGGTGCTTCCAGGCAAAAAGCTGAGTTGTAAGTGACTGTCCTTCCCAGGATTTGTTAATTGAGCACACTTACTGAACACCTGTCCTGATGGTAAAAGTGTATGCTGAAAAGAGCCAGTCCTAAAAGTTGCCCCACATCTCACCCATCTGTCTGTTCATGAGTTTTATATATATATATATATATATATATATATATATATATATATATATATATATATATATATATATATTATTAATTCCAGAGAGGAATGGAGAGGGAGAAAGAAACATCAGTGGTGATGAGAGTGAATCATGGATCGGCTGCCTCCTGCTCACCCTACACTGGGATCGAGCCCTCAACCTGGGCATGTGTGCCAACCAGGAATCAAAACCTGACCTGTTTCATTGGTCAATGACCAACCATTGAGCCACGGTGGCTAGGCAGGCTCCTAAATGATTTTTGAAAATATGCCTACATGAAGTCCCACCTTTTGTGCAGTACAGTTTTATCAGTTTTGAAGAAATGCAATAACATATCCAACATTACAGAATCATATAGAACTTCATTGCCTGAAAATCCCCTCTGCTGCATTATTCATTTCTCTCTCCGAGCCCCTGGTCTAATGAGAGCATGCTTTTTCCAATACCACCAAGCAAGTAGCTCAGTTCTGACACTATCTACTGGGAGATAGCATCAGTTCCCACAAGTGAAGGAAAGTCAACCAGCCCTACTAGACTGGCCCCATTCCCCCCACCTCCTGCCCCCCTGCAACACACACCAATCGGAAGTCCAAGTTGTCACCTTTGCTATAGATAAGAGGTTCCCATGACCCCCATCCTCAGTTTCATTTAATTTGCTAGAGAGGCTCACAGAACTCAAAGAAATACTTTACTTTCTAGGTCACTGTTTTATTATAAAAGCATCTATAATAACTCTGCCCTGGCTGGTTTGGCTCAGTGGATTGAGCGTTGGCCTGAAGACTGAAGGGTCCTGGGTTCGATTCCAGTCAAGGGCACGTGCCCCGGTTGCAAGCTTGATCGCCAGTAGGGGGTGTGCAGGAGGCACCGGGTCCATGATTCTCATCATTGATGTTTCCATCTCCCTCTCTGAAATCAATAAAAAAAAGAATATAACTCATGAACAGACAGATGGGTGAGATTCGTTGGGGCAAGGCCCAGAGCTTCCATGCCTCCTGGGGGTGCCACTCTTCCCACAGTTCCATGTAGTTACCCTACTAGATTAAGGTGACCGGACGTCCCACTTTTGGCGGGACAGTCCCGATTTTTAACAATTTGACCTGTGTCCCACATCCTTCGGCATTTTAAAAAAGTCCCCATTTTTGGAAAGAATGCAGGACAAGCTAGGGAATGGCGGGAGCTCAAGAAGAGAATATACGGTTTTCGGCGGCCACAAGGCTATTTAGCCAGGAAATGAGTTTTATATTATTTTTGTTAATTTTATGTTAAACTTTAATAATAACAAATAATTGTTGAGAACTGATTATTGAGAACTGCTTATCAAAGTTCGCATTGTTGATCAGTTGTTAGAATTCGACCACCATTGTTTGGATTTAATGAAAAATGGCATTTTTTGGGATTGGCAACAACGAAAACATTTTGTAATTGTCTCTCAGATGATACACATCGCACTGCCTGCTAGTAAGCTAGTTAAACAAGTGATGTCATTACAAATCAGCTATTCAGATAATTTAGGTAAGTTATTTATTTCATAAATACATAAATTTTCTTGAATTTAGCAGACAGTACTCATTATTTATATTTTATAGTGGCGGCAAAAAGTCTAGCACAGGCCTTGAAAGTCACATGACTATATATAAATTTTTTAATTTACTATATTTGTAAATTGTACTTAACTTGAAATTAAAAAAATAGCCAAAACCGGTTTGGCTCATCGGTCTGCGGACTGAAAGGTCCCAGGTTCGATTCCAGTCAGGGGCATTGGTTGCAGGCACATCCCCAGTAGGGGGTGTGCAGGAGGCAGCTGGTCGATGTTTCTCTCTCATAGACGTTTCTAGCTCGCTCGCTCCCTCCCTCTCTGTAAAAAATCAATAAAAAAATATATATTTAAATATATATATTACAATACTATTTTTGCGTTCTATGAAAATTTTTGTTGCTCCATATAGACTAAATTTTTAATCAAGAAACCCCTCCCACCCACTCCTTTCAATGGTGTCCCGCTTTACCAATGTTAAAATCTGGTCATCTTACCCTAAGCGTTGATCAGGACTATTAAAGTGACAAATGCAAAGAAAGCCATGTTAAAGGAGGTTGGGGGGGGGGGGCAACTCAAATGACTGAAGGAACTAAGGGGTAAAAAGACAAACTGAGACTGAAACGAAGTGAAAACTAGAAGGACCCAAAAAAGATGTAAGACGTCAATCAAGCGGAGGAAATCTCGCGAGGCGTAGGGCAGCCAAGATGGCGGGGGCGCTTGCCGCCACACTTAATATGGCGGCCGGAGAGCGTTCCTGGAAGAAGAAATCTCGCGAGAGTGGCCTCGCGGCTGCTGCCCGTCCGGGAATTGAGCTGGGGGTGTGGAACAGCCAAGATGGAGCCCGCAGCCGGCAGCCCCGGCCCGCTCATCTTGAACAACAAGCAGCCTCAGCCGCCGCCGCCGCCGCCGCCCGCCGCCGCCGCGCAGCCGCCGCCCGGGACGCCGCGGGCCGGCGCGGGCCTCCTGCCGGCGGGCAAAGCCCGGGAGTTCAACCGCAACCAACGCAAAGACTCGGAGGTCAGGGGCTCGGGGGGCGAGGCTGGCGGCGGCGGGGGCGCGGGCCCGGCGGCTCTCGGTTCTCGCCGGGGCTCCCGGAGGGCTCGGCGGGACCCGGCGGCCGAGCTGTCATTTCCCATGGGAAGGAAGGGCCCGCGCGGGGGGCTGGCGCCGCGGGTCGGGGGCGTGGAGCCGGGTCCGCGCCCCGAGCTCCGCCGCCGCCGCCGCCGCCGGGGAGGATCGCCGGGGAGAACCGCCGGGAGCCGGGCCGCTCGTCCGCTCCTTCCGCGCCGGAGCCGGGGCCGCGCCCTCGGAGCCCCCGGCTCGGGGCGAAGAGTCGGTGGCCCGCGTGCGCTCCGGGGGCGGGGACCTGGCGGCGGACCGGACCCCGGCCCTCCCCGCCTCTGGCCCCGGGCGCGCGGAGCCGGGAGGGGCCGTGACCTCCGGGGGTACCGCGGCGCCCGGAGGCTGCGGGAGGGGGGACCTTCCATCCGACCCGAGCCGGGCAGGTTCGACCCCGGTGCGCCCCGTGCTGAACGGTTCAGGATCAGAAATGCCCACCATTAGACCCGAGAGAGGGCGCGGCGCCCCCCCTCTCCGGCTGGTGGGCTGTGCCTCCCCTTCCGCGGGCGCCGTAGCCCGGAGCGGACTGTCACCTCACCCCGAGCCGGAGCCCCTCCCCCTGCCGCCCGCGGTAGAATTCATGAATGGAGACTCTGCCGGCGCCGCCGAGCCCTGGGCTCCTGCCTGGCGCCTTCCCGGAGCCCTCTGTGCGGGAGGACTCCGCACCTTCCCTCTGTCCCGGGGCGTGTGCACCGCGTCTATGGGGGCTGGACACCATCCTGAGACGTGTGAAGGCGGAACGTGGTTTTTATGGGCTAGTGCAGACCTCCGGCACTAGTAAAACCTGTCAAAACTTGGCAGGTCCAAAGCAGACATTCCCCTGAGCTCTCGGAATTATTTGCAAAAGCAGAGAAACCCACCTCTTCGGAGCCCTTGTGCTGGGGGCTGGCTGAGGGAGGGTGTGAGAGCCGTGGGGCGACCCTGCCTTCATCAGGAGAGGACTGCAGTTTCAAAGAGCTTTACATCTTCCGGAAGCGGCCGTCAGTGGTCAAATAAATCCCCTCCAGCGCATTTAAATTTCTCTTTCTACCCTTTCGTTTCCATTTGGGCGAAACCCAAGGAAGGGCAGTCGGTGAGCACATTGAGCTGAGAGACCTGTGTTCTTAGAGATTCGGATGGTGTGTGGGCTCGTTCTTGAGTCACAGTTGGAATTAGGGCTAATTTTGATGAGTGCTTGAAAGCCTTCCTGGTAGCCCTAGCCCGTTTGGCTCAGCGGATAGAGCGTCGACCTGGGTACTGAAAGGTCCCGAGTTTGATTCCCAGTCAGGGCACATGCCTTGGTTGCAGGGTCAGTCCCCAGTGGGGGGCATGCAGGAGGCAGCCATTCAGTGATTCTCTCTCATCATTGATGTTTCTATCTCTCCCTCTCTCCTCTCTGAAGTTAAAAAAAATTAAAGAAGGGTCCCGGGTTCGATTCTGACAACCAATTGATGTCTCTCACATCATGTTTCTCCCTCCCTCCCTCCCTCTCTCTCTCTCTCTCTCTCTCTCTCTCTCTCTCTCTCTCTCTCTCTCTCTCTCTCACATCCTCCCACTCTCTCCAAAAATGACTGAAAAAATGTCCTCGAGTGAGGATTAACAACAAAGCCCTTCCAGTAGGTGTGGGTCACCTCCCATTCGATAAACGAAGACCTGAAGTCCAGCACCTTGGGCACGTGTGCCCTGTTGCCTCTGACTAGGAAGTGGAGTTCTCCATGTCATTCCGTGTTTGTGGGCACGTTAAGTGGTTTCGTGGGTGGGCGGCCTTTGTCTTCCCAAGGAGCTTGTGGTTAGGCTGAGGGCTTCACCTGTTTTCCCACGTCTCCTCTTCCCAGAGGAGGCCTCAGTGGTCACCTGTCCCCAGCCATGAATTCTCTCCTGCGTGCGGGAGGGAAGCCGTTCTGCTCACTGGAATCCGAAGGGAGGAAGGGCAGGGAGGCTGTCCTGGCTGGTGACCGCCCGCTAGCCAGAGCGAACCCAGGCTGCTGGAACCTGGGCCCCACATGGAGTGAGTGGTCACTCACTGCGTGGAATGCAGAGAAGCTTTGTGCTCATTCATCCAGCAAGTGTTTATTTGAGTCAACTATTCACTCACTCACTCACTCACTCATGGCAAGCAGTGCTGGGCATTGTGGAACCAATGGTGGGCCAAATGGACAGCGTTCGCCTCTCAGGGAACTTGCAGAGCCAAGGAGGACGGCACTTACCCATACGCCGGCCCCTGGATCCTGAGTGACAGGTGCGCTGAAGGAAGCGAGCGGGTGCTGGAGACCTGAGCGGCGGAGACTGATTGATAAAACACGGGCCCAGGGGAGGCAGTGGCCCCTCACACAGCGGGGTCTCTGGAAGCTTGTGCTTCTTCCTGTGGGAAGCGGCGACCATGTGTCCCCTCTCTCCTGTCTCTGCAGGGCTATTCCGAGTCTCCGGACCTGGAGTTTGAGTATGCTGACACGGACAAGTGGGCGGCCGAGCTTTCAGGTAAAGAGGGACCGTTGTGTTGTTTGGGGTGTGTTTACCTTATTGGTCTTTAATAAAGTGAAGAGTGAGTGCCATTTTGGAGTCCGCTTCCCCCCCACCTAGCTAGTCTTAGTTAGTATGATGCTTATAAGACAGGTTCATTACTGAATGCCGGCCTGAGTGTCCCTTAACTTTGGCCTGTCCTTTACTTCAATGACGCATCTCTGGGTGGTTGGCTCAGGTGGCTGTGGCCCAGTCCCAGTGGACAGAGGTGAGGAGTGCAAGCACGGGTGCCTGCACCTGCGCACATCTGTCGCTGCCACGCTGCCCCTGTGTAATGTGAGGTTACCCTGAGCTGCTCCACTAGCCTCTTCAAAAGGTGGCACCCACTGAGAGACAGCCACCGGCATGGCCTGCTGGGATCCTCGTGCACCAGGCGGGGCGACCCCGCATCTAGGCTGCACTGGCATCCTGGGGTCGGCTGCAGGGGAAGTCAGCTTTCTCTCCGTCCTGTTCACCAGAACACTAGGACCCAGTCCTTACAGAGCATAGGCCAGTGAAGACGGAGTTGGGCCTGGAAGCAGACACTCTGCCTTCTGTGCTGCGTGTGCACCCCGGTGTGGGATGTGGACACAGAGCTGATGAGACTTTGTTCTCGCAGAGCTTTACAGCTACACGGAGGGGCCAGAATTCCTGATGAACCGGAAATGCTTCGAGGAGGACTTCCGCGTCCATGGTGAGATGGTTCCCTCCACACCTCGGTTCCTTTCACCCGTGTCATGAGAGCTGCAGGGTTCCTCCCAGTCATCTCAGTGGCCTCAGTCACCCAGGAGTGGCCTGCTGAGCCATGGCCGGGCCAGGCCAACTGTGCCGTGCAGAGGGGCTTGTGAGTCCTCTGATGGTGGCTTTTCAGATTGTGAGTCTTAGGAAGAAAAGAAACTTTATCTGATTAAAACTGCACCAAAATCAGCATCATTTCAGTCTGGAAATGGAGGGTCCTCGGGCAGCAGGGGACCTGAGCCCCGATGGGGAGAGTGGCTGGCTCTCTGAGCTCTGTGCCGAGGCAGGCCTGCATTTGGTGGCTTAGCCGGTGCCGGGCCGTTGTGGGGCTGTCTGGCCTCAGGTGGAACTGGCCTCTTGCCCTGCAGTGACAGACAAGAAGTGGACCGAGCTGGACACCAACCAGCACCGGACCCACGCCATGAGGCTCCTGGACGGCTTGGAGGTCACTGCCCGGGAGAAGAGACTCAGGGTGGCCCGGGCAATCCTCTACGTCGCCCAAGGTACTGAGGGGACCCAGGGCGCGGCCTCCCGCAGTGCTGGCCGCTCAGGATGGGAGGGCCCTGAGCTGTGCCTGTCCGCAGGCACCTTCGGGGAGTGCAGCTCCGAGGCGGACGTGCAGGCCTGGATGCGCTACAACATCTTCCTGCTCCTGGAGGTGGGCACGTTCCACGCGCTGGTGGAGCTTCTGAACATGGAAATAGAGTGAGTCCCGAGGGGAGGGCCGGGACGGGGGCGCGGGAGGTTACGGCACTAGTCCTGGGAGTCTGGTCCAAAGCCTCCGTTTAATAATGTGTCGTAGCGTTTTATCTCCGGTGGGGCAGTCCTTGTCCGGGGGCCTCTCGTCCCTCCGGGGCAGCACTGACTCGGTCTCTCCCGCAGCAACAGCGCCGCCTGCAGCAGCGCGGTGCGGAAGCCGGCCATCTCCCTGGCTGACAGCACGGACCTCAGGTGAGGCCTGAGCCAGGCCAGAGCAGGGCTTGGGCGCCCTCGGTTTTCTCGGTGTGGCCGTGTGCGCGTTCCTTCTCGCGCTGACCTGTGGTGACGGGCTTGGTGGGATCATTCAGCCTGCGGGGCCCTAGCCGGGCTCTGGGTTGAGTCTCCCAGAGGAATCAGGTGATGGAACACAGTGCTGTGAGAACTCCGGTGGCTTTCTAGCGGGTGGAACACTGGGTCCACTCCACGCTCCCACCTTCTCCTGCACAGCTGCCCCCGCCTACGGAGGGTCAGTCCTGGCGGTTCATGAGGCTCGTGGCTGCTCAAGAGCAAGAGCAGCTCCCCGAACTGTGAGGATTAGAACCTGTCTCTGCCTTTGGAAGTTTCCAGACTGGGTGCTGGTGGTGTCCTCGCTGTAGTTAGCGTCCTGGCATCACCCTGCTCGCTCCTGATTTGCTCTCTCCGTGGCAAACACATCCTGGTCTCGCCTCCACCCTGCCCCGCTGTGGTGGATTCCGCAGCTCTCCCTCCGCGGGGTCTTTTTCACTCCAGGAAGCTCAGGGCAGCAAATGCCGTGGCCGTTGTCCACATGAATCCGTTCAGCAGCCATTTGCCAAGCACCCGCTTTGAGTGAGCACTTTGCTGGACACGGGATACAGGACAGATCTGGTCCCTCCTTAGCACACGAGACAAAAGGGAGCCCCTGTGCTCTGTGGGACGCTCAGTGTCCTGCAGGTTACAGCCCTCCCACCTGCCAGCCTGTGCGCCCAGGCTTTCCTCGTGTCAGGGTGCTCCCTTGACCCCCCCTTCCGTCCTGGTATCGCACCCCAGGGTGCTGCTCAACATCATGTACCTGATCGTGGAGACTGTTCACCAGGAGTGCGAGGGCGATAAGGCCGAGTGGAGAACCATGCGCCAGACCTTCCGGGCCGAGCTGGGTAGGACCCGGGTCTCCTGTCCGGAGGCCCCTCTGGAGCGGAGGCCGTGGGCTCGGGAGGGCGCTGCTCCTGCGTGAGCTCCTGACGCCCTCGTCGCCTCCAGGTTCGCCGCTGTACAACAACGAGCCGTTCGCCATCATGCTGTTTGGGATGGTGACCAAATTCTGCAGTGGCCACGCCCCTCACTTCCCCATGAAGAAGGTTCTCCTGCTGCTCTGGAAGACAGTCCTGGTGAGCACCTCCTGGAGGGAAAGCCAGGGGACAGGGCCGGAGAGCGGCTTGGCCACTCCTCCCCCTGGGTCACCCTCCCTTCCAGATGGGCCAGCTGTGGAGCTGGAAGGGGAGGCGCTCCAGCCTGCCTCTTGCACGTGAGGAGCATGGCGAACACACAGCTGAACGTGTCTGTGCACTGGGCTTGGTCGGCCCGTTTCTCTTCTCCCTCCCCAGCTTCACTGGACTCTCCTGGGGGTGGATAGAGCCCCTTGTTCAGAGGCCGCGAGGGTCTCCGTAAAGGGGTCCTGGTGCTCTCACGCCTGGCACAGCCTGTGGGCATGTTGACCCCGCCTGCTCCTCTGACGCAGTGCACGCTGGGCGGCTTCGAGGAGCTGCAGAGCATGAAGGCGGAGAAGCGCACGCTGCTGGGCCTGCCCCCGCTGCCCGAGGACAGCATCAAGGTGATCCGCAACATGAGGGCCGCCTCGCCGCCCGCGTCCGCCTCCGACCTGATCGAGCAGCAGCAGAAGCGGGGCCGCCGGGAGCACAAGGTGAGCAACAGGTCCCTGCAGCTCCCCAGGTTCTCTGCACACAGTGGCCTGGTCCCTGGACAAGCTCGGCTGGGAATGGCCTCTGAACGCTGGTCAGAGGAAGGCCTCCAGGCAGGGCCTCTGTCCCCGGTGCAGGTCCCAGCTTACACTGGGCACTCCGGGAGGGACTAGAGCAAGCATGATTTGTCATCTGGTCCCAGCCGTGACTTCCTGTCTGGTTTCTCACTGCCCTTGCGGTGTCGCAGCCTCTGAGGCTTCCTCGGCCTTTCCTGGCTCCTCAGGGGCTCTCGTGTGCTCCCCCCGTCTCCAGGCACTGATAAAGCAGGACAACCTGGACGCCTTCAACGAGCGGGACCCCTACAAAGCCGACGACGCTCGGGAAGAGGAAGAAGAGAACGATGACGACAACAGCCTGGAGGGCGAGACGTTCCCCCTCGAGCGGGACGAGGTGATGCCTCCCCCACTGCAGCACCCCCAGACCGACAGGCTCACCTGCCCAAAGGGGCTCCCCTGGGCGCCCAAGGTCAGGTGAGTCTCACACCTTCGGAAACCAGGGCCCTCACACCCACAGGCCTGGCACCTGGCCTGGGTCACGTGAGGTCCTCTGCTGGGTGGGACAGCCTGGGCTGGGCTCTGGGAGGAGGCTCCCAAAGTCCCTGTGCTGGCGCGGGTCTTGGGGGCCGGCCTGGCACAAAGAGGCCCTTGTGTGGGGTGGTAATGGGAGCTGGCTCTTGGGTAGGCAGGATAACTAGTGAGGACGGGGGTGAGAAAATGAGAACAAGGACATTTAAGTGACCCCATCTCCACCCCCCAGTGTTGTATGTGATTAACAGAAAAGATATAGATTAAGGAAGGGCTCCTTTAGAGCCATAATTGGGGTATTGAGATGTATGTGATGAATCAGTGGGCGAAGGCACCTTGATCTATAGAAATGGCGTCTGTTTGAAATGGCTCCAACTTAGAACTAGAAGGACATGTGAGAGGATCTAGAAGTCATTTTCTCCATCCAGGTGAAGCCCCAGTTTTTCGTGATCCAAGATGGGAATACACACAGGTCTTCAGAAAATGCAAGATACGCTGATTGTTTGACAGGAAAATGTGACTCATGAAAAAATCAGTAGCTTATAGCTCTCATTGTTGTAAAAATTATAAATGTTCAAGGAGTTCTGTTGACAAAGGTCTTAATTTCTGAATATAGTATGCTTTTAATTCAATGTATCACTAATTTTACAAGTATCATAAACAAGTTACTAGTACACATCACATAATTTCAGGTCGTTGATTCAATGTTAAGAAGGAGGTTTTATTTTTTTCCATAAAGAAAAACAGTTGAGGGAGACATTTTCTCTGGCTCCACAATTTCTGGATGTTCTGTATCTATTAACCATTGACAACACCTTGAAATGACCTTTAGTAAAAGCCTTGCTCTCTCTCTTGGGCAGAGAGAAAGACATTGAGATGTTCCTCGAGTCCAGCCGCAGCAAATTCATAGGTTACACTCTGGGCAGGTGAGTGAGATCCAAGTTCCTTTGGAAGAAAGCGAACGAGAAATCCACTCGCTTGGCCTCTGGTGTTTGGGGACCCAGGCGGATTGATGTCCGGGCTAACACAGGCCTCCTTTATCCTCAGCGACACGAACACGGTGGTGGGGCTGCCCAGGCCAATCCACGAAAGCATCAAGACTCTGAAACAGGTAGGCGGTGTGGCTGGGCTTCTGGCCTAGTTTGGTCCCAAGTGAGCGAAGTGTGATCGGCCCGCTGGGAGAAGCCAGTCAGACTTGTCGGCCTGACGGAGCCTGGGCTGAGGTGTGGGTGGACGGTGGCGGTACCTCTCAGCAGCTCTTCGTAAATTCTACTTATTCCAGCTGGGCTTTTGTTGGGTACTTATCTGACAGTTGTTGGAATTTTAAGGGCCCACTAAACAGCCCCCTTTCCGCTCACGTTTTAAGGCGATTGAGATAGAGGAGTAGGCGGGTGGAGATGGAAACCCCAGCCTTAAGGATGGCAGAGAGATTAGAGAATGAGGTGGAGGACAGCAGCCATAGGTGTCCCAGCCCTGACTTCCCCAATGAGGCAGACTCACCCCCCCAGAGCCGACAGTGCTGGAGCCCGCCAGGCCTGCTCGGGAGCAGAGGAGTGCACAGGCTTTTGTCAAAGAGAACAGCGAAAGGGGTGGGCTCAGAATGTCCTGTTCCTCTGCCCAGCCAGCCCGGCGGGTGTGTGGGAGGGGCAGGGGTGTTCTGCACACCCACATCCCTCCACGGGAAGGAACACCAAGAGGGGGAAAGAGGTGTCTCCCTAACAACCCATCTGGAGTGTAAGTGTTTGTTTTTGGAATGTATTTCTGAAATGTTTAGTGCTGAGTGGTCCCCATGCACCTAAGCTTTTTGAGTACTTGATCCTGAATACTTGAGTACTTGATTCTGCTTGGACTAATTTTTCTGTCACTATAGCTATCTGAAAGTCCCTTTCTCTCTCTTAATTTGCTTTTTTTCTAATCTCTTGTGTGCTTTTTACAATGGTTTTAAGAGGCAAGTGCTGTCCAGCTGATGTGGCTCAGTGGTTGAGCATTGACCTATGAACCAGGAGGTCATAGTTCAATTCCCAGTCAAGGCACATGCCCGAGTTTTGGGCTTAGTCCTAGTAGGGGTGTGAGGAGGCAACCGATCAATGATTCTGTCACATCATTGGTGTTTCTATCTCTCCCCTACCCCTCTCTGAAATAAATAAAAAAAATTTTTTTTCAAAGGCAATTGCTCACTTAGAAAATTATTTCGTGTTTAGGAGGTTAGTTAGGGGTCTTAGTGGAGATTCCCTCTTGGAGAAGATTGTTTAAAGAATTGCCCGGGTCTTTGCCAGGGTGTGGGGCGTGTAGCCAGAGAGTGGGAACTGTTCCCCAGCGCCTCTCCCCTTCTCCCCAGCACAAGTACACGTCGATCGCAGAGGTCCAGGCGCAGATGGAGGAGGAGTTCCTTCGCTCTCCTCTTTCAGGGGTGAGTTGGGGCCTTCCTCAGCCCACAGGGTTCCTCTGCTCTTCCCAGGCATAGTGCTGGGCCTAGACCTCGAAGCTGCCTGGTGCTGCCTGGTCCTGCCCTCAGAGCACCCCCCCTTCCTACTCCCCCTGCAGGGGTAGCCTGTCTGGTGCAGGGGTTAAGAGCACAGGCTCTGAGCCAGTCACCACCTCTGAATCGAACGCCACAGCTCAGTGGGTGACGACTTCGCAGGAGACTGCATGTCCTTGTGCTTCCGTTTCCTCACCTGGGAGGTGGCAGTAATAATCATACCCTTCACACAGTGTAGTGAGGACTGACCTGTTACAAGTCAAGTGCCTGCATGTCGTGTCAGTCAGGTCTGCTGTCACCTCAGCATCATTGTTCATATCAAGACTGACAGCTGCTCCTCCGGCCAGCGAGTCAGCTGGCCCAGGAGCCTGTCAGGACGGGCTGTAGCTCTGCCTTTGTGGTCGAAGGGAGAAGAGGAAGTCGAGCAGGTCCCTGCAGAGACACTCTACCAGGGCCTGCTCCCCAGCCTGCCCCAGTGCATGGTGAGTGCCCTCCGGCTCCGCCCGCCCTCCAGCGCCTCCGTCCCTCCCGGTGCCCTGCCCGGAGCCCTGCGCGACCGCCTCCGGGCTGAGGCTCACCTGGGCGCTCCTGTCCTCCCAGATCGCGCTGCTGAAGATCCTGCTGGCTGCGGCCCCCACCTCCAAAGCCAAAACCGACTCCATCAACATCCTGGCCGACGTCCTGCCTGAGGAGATGCCGTGAGTACCGTCCCCTGTGCGTGGAGCAGGTGGGCAGTAGGACGGGTCCCCAGGTTTGGGAGGTTGCTTCCTCTTTTGACTCAACTTCTCTGCAGGTTGAGGGCATTCCTAGCTCAGAAGGAAAAAAAAAAGTACTGGGTTAAATGTCTCCATCTGCTGCTTGGGGAGGGGGTCAGCCCAGCTGACCTGGGTTCCAGTGTAGACTCTGCCCTGAGTGGTGCCTGAGTGACCGGAGAGTCCTCACCCCGCTGCAGAGCGAGCCGGGCTGGGGCGACCTTTCCCAAACCCCTGGAGCTGTGCGGCTGGGACACAGGACATGGAGACACCTTCCCAGCCAGCGCTGAGCCTCCCTGGGTGCGGGGTCTTCCCGGCCACAGTCCCCGGCCTGTGGCCTTTGGTGAGTCTCAGGTGACACTCTTCCCTGGGCACTGACTGCCTCTGTTCGATGTGAGAGGACACACTGAGACCGTGTTCTACTCTGAGAGGGACGTGGCCTTGACCTGGCCGCCCGCCCGCTCATCCCGCCCAGCTCCCTGGTGGCAGGCTCCTTGAGTCTGGGGTGAAAGGCAGGTGAGGCCGGAGGCAGGGCTTGGCTAATACCAAAGGGGGTGTTAGAACACTGGGCCATTGTGATAGTCCTTGGAAAGGGGGTTCCAGAGTCAAATACTGCACCTCTTCCAGTGAGAAGTTCTGAATCAAGAAACTGATTTAAGTGTCTAAGCACTGTTATACGCCTGGAATGAGTATAATATTGTATCGAGTGTAACTGAAAAATAAATTTAAAAAAAAAGGAAAGAAACTTATTTAACTCAATGCTTCCTAAGTTTTCCCCATAACATGAAGTGTGCCATGTGGTGGCATTCCACAGAGCATGCGTGAGAGCAGGTCCCTGTAGAGGCAGAAGCTTGGGGGATCTTGAGAAGTTCACTGTGGAGGAAAGGCAGGGGAAGAGGGTACAGTGTGTTTGGACATCACAGGACGAGAACTGCTGGGCGTGGGCGTGGGCGGGAGAGCCCTGGGCCTGGCTGAGATGTCCACGGGTGGCTGGCGTGGGAGCCTTAGCCCAGAGAAGGCTAGGAGTCCCGGCTCCCGGGAGCCCGAGGAGGGCGCTGAGCAGGCTGTGGGCTCACCGGCCGTGTGTTTCAGCACCACGGTGCTGCAGAGCATGAAGCTGGGCGTGGACGTGAACCGCCACAAGGAGGTCATTGTGAAGGCCATCTCCGCCGTCCTGCTGCTGCTGCTCAAGCACTTCAAGCTGAACCACGTCTACCAGGTACCTGCCAGCCTGCCGTCTTCCTGCCCACTGGCCACGGCCTGGCAGTGCTGCCCCCCAGCCCTGGAGAGCGGAGGCTTTGGCCTCCACACCCCCTGAGCTCTGCACAGACGTTCTAATCCGTCTTCTAGCTGAGGCTTCTGTCCTGGGAGGAAAGACGGAGAGACGGGCGGCCCCCAGGGGCGTGCTGATGTCTCCTGTTGTTTCAGTTTGAGTACATGGCCCAGCACCTGGTGTTTGCCAACTGCATCCCTTTGATTCTGAAGTTCTTCAATCAAAACATCATGTCCTACATCACTGCCAAGAACAGGTGACAGGGACCAGGGCTCAGGAGGGTCCAGGGGACAGATGGCAGGGCTCCCAGCGGGCCGCTCCCACTGAACCCACTCAGCATCCACAGGCCAGCACTGCCCTGCTTCTCAGAGATGAATGAAGCATGGCCCCTGCCCGTGTGTCCGACCTGAGTCTAGCTATCTGGTGACACATGACTCAGTCTGTGCCTGGGTGGGAGGGGGCCTCATCCTGGGCTCCAATACAGCCCTTGCTGTCCCGGGCCTTTTAAATTTAATTAATTTATTTTGAGGAGGCCAGCCAGGCTGCCTGCTTTCTCTGGGGAGCTCAGCCATGTGCGCTGTCACACGCTGACTCCTAGCCTCTGCCCCTCTCTCCTGTGCCTCCTGTACTTGGCAGTGCCTGCTCCTCAGTGTGGTACATCCCAGGGCAAGTCACCAGCTGCCACTCCCGAGGGGCGTGGCGCACACTCACTGCTTAAGAAGTCTCCCCAGCCAGGAGCATTGCTGCGGGAGAGCAGGGTCTCCCCCTACACAATGGCAGGCTGGTCTCTGGGAGCAAGTGCTTCCCACCTTAGAGCTGGAAACAGGGCGGTGCAGGCAAGGTAGACTCCGCCTGCATCCCACCAAGTGAGAGGAGAGCAGAGCCAGACCCAGCCTTTGCTCATGGTGGCCTGCCTGCCCTTGCTCTCACAGCATTTCCGTCCTGGATTACCCTCACTGCGTGGTGCACGAGCTGCCAGAGCTGACTGCCGAGAGTCTGGTGAGTGGCCAGGCTCTACCGGCTGTCCCTCTGGTGGGGGGGGGGGGGGCGCAGAGCCTGGCTCCCCCACCTAGGATGGTGGTGGCTTCACAAATGAGGTCCCTGTCGAGTGCCTGGCTTTTAAAGCACTAATTGCACACAAGGTAGGGCAGAAAGTTACGGGGTAGGGGTTCCCTTGTTGGGAGCATGGTCCTCAGGGGCTGGTGACCCAGAGCTCACCAGGCCGACTTGCTTCTCTCCCCCTCGCTGGAACTCTGGGCACAGCTCTAAGGGATGGAGTTTCCGGGGGCTGAGGAGAGGGGGCTGCCGGCCCCGGCAGGGAGACCATGCCTGCGCCGGCCTGGGAAGCCGCTGAGCCCCTGCCCTGAGGGTCATGGTTCCTGGGCTTTCCCTGCAGGAAGCAGGCGACAATAACCAGTTTTGCTGGAGGAACCTCTTTTCTTGCATCAATCTCCTCCGGATCTTGAACAAGCTGACCAAGTGGAAGCACTCAAGAACGATGGTGAGTCAGCGCGGTCAGCGTGGATCCGGGAGCTGCGGAGCGCCAGCCCGTCCTCCCTGGAGCAGAGCAGGAGCAGGGTCCGGGGCGGGCTCGCCGCTGCATCCTTCCTCCTCGCTTTCCTGCGGCCGCGTTGTGTTTTAAGGCCTGATTCCTGGTTCCTTGACACGTTGAGCTGGGGGCTGGCATCATTTCACTCGCAGGAGGGCCTCCTCTCCATCCGGGGCCTGGGAGTCCACCTTACCCCGAGCCTCTGGGTGGGGAGGGCCGGGAATCCCCGGGAACTGAAGGGACTTGCACTCAGCAGTATTTCTGAAGGAATTCATGGCTTTCTTCAGATTCCAAAACAACTCATGATTGGGGCCATGGACCTGGTTTGCCTGGGACTTGGTGGTGGTAGCAGTGAGTCCCATGTCCCAGCAAACCCCTCCGGCTGGGGACAGCTGGGACAGTCGCTCACCCCGCCTGTGACCGCCAACGGGTGAGCAGCGCTGGTGAGACAGCATTCTCTGTGCCCACCGTGCCCTCCAGATGCTGGTGGTGTTCAAGTCGGCGCCCATCCTGAAGCGCGCCCTGAAGGTGAAGCAGGCCATGATGCAGCTGTACGTGCTGAAGCTGCTCAAGGTGCAGACCAAGTACCTGGGGCGCCAGTGGCGCAAGAGCAACATGAAGACCATGTCTGCCATCTACCAGAAGGTGCGGCACCGGCTCAACGACGACTGGGCCTACGGCAACGGTGAGCCCGGCACCTCCCCGCAGGCCGCCTGAGGAATCCAGAGGGAGCGGAGGAAGGACCGTGAGAAGCCGCCCCAGCACAGTGTCTGACCATCCCCACTCTCCCTCCCTCGAAGCTCTGCCTCTTCCAGAAATTGTCATGCGTCTCTCCCGTCTTTCCTCTCCCCCCTGCCCACAAGTTCTCTCAGCTCTTCATCAGCCTCAGACTGTGCTCCAGTGATCTTTCTAGAGGGCGTTCTGCGGGCACTGTGAGGAAAGGCCTTCACTGGCCTCCGATTGCCCTTGGACTTAGAGCCAAATGCTCAAACGTGGCATATGAGGCCCACATTCTCCCCTTCACCTTCCTTACCCCCCTCCTTCTCTCCCTCCCTCCTCCTCCTCCTCTCTAACCGGAACCCAGCTTCTCTGCAGCCCAGCCCGTCACTCCTGGTCTCTGGGCACACAGGCACTCAAATCTGTGCACATAGCCTGTGCCCCTCTTCAGTGCCTTCTGGCAGGGTGCCTTCCCCGCACACATACCTCCGCTGTCCTGTGTCCACGTGTTTCTTCCCCTCTGGGCAGCCGCCTCGGCCTCCTAAGCAGAGTGGGTTCTCCAGGTGTCCCCTGGATATGCTGCCGCATCATTCAGTTCCTGGCCCAGCACCTGTGCCTGTGCCTGTGCGCCTGGGCGGGAAATGGAGAGAATGAGCTAGTGAGGCGCCTGCACGCTCCTCCTCTGATCCGGAGAGCCAGGGACAAGGGGCTTTCAGAGCGTGTGTCACCCTGTGGCTCCTCGGTAGATCTGGCTTTTCTCCTCGCACCTGACTTTCCTTGTATCCAGGAAAGAAGTCCTGTCGGTGTTGCTGAGGGCACGTGGGGCTTGGAAGTTGACATTATGTCAAGTGGGGGCGTGGCATGGCCTTAGCTTGTGAATGCTAGGGGAGCTGCCATGAGGCCTCTCCTGACCATGGCTTCCTGTTTGTCCCAGATCTGGATGCTCGGCCTTGGGACTTCCAAGCAGAGGAGTGTGCCCTCCGTGCCAACATTGAACGCTTCAACGCCCGGCGCTATGACCGGGCCCACAGCAACCCCGACTTCCTGCCCGTGGACAACTGCCTGCAGAGCGTCCTGGGCCAGCGGGTGGACCTCCCCGAGGACTTCCAGATGAACTATGACCTCTGGTTGGAAAGGGAGGTCTTCTCCAAGCCCATTTCCTGGGAAGAGCTGCTGCAGTGAGGCTCCTGCAGAAGACCCCAGAGGAAGCGTGGTGTGTCCAGGCGCCCAGGGCCTGTCGCGGTTCCCTGCAGTGCGCCCAGCCCCCTCCAGGTGGCAGCACCTCCTCACTGTGCCCTCCCCAGACCACTCTGGGCTTGGCCTCTGGTTGATCCCAGCATCCTGTCTGGGAGTATCATCTCTGCTTGCCACCCTCTCTCCATTCCTCCTACCCTCTGCCTCGGACATGGGTGGCTGCAGCTCATTTCTCATTCAGCCCAAGGCTGGGAAGAGCTGGGATAGGCTGGGGTCCCATCGCATCTGAATTTCGGGGCTCACGCTGACTCTTCTTGAGACATGCAGATCCTTGGCAGACCCAGCTTGCCTAGGAGGACACAGCATTGGGGCCGGGGCCAGAACGTCAGTCTGGTTTTGCTTTTGGGGTTTCTGATGTCAGTCCAGCCTCGCGCTGAGTTTCCTCCAGAAGCAGCTGCAGAGGCCCCTGCGGCTCCCTCAGCTCTGGGCTTGGACAGGGTGTGGGGGAAGAGAAGCTTCCCTCAGCCAGAGGTGCTCTTTCCCTCTCGATCTGCAAGGTCTGTAAATACCTATATATAAACCTGTGTGTATCTCTTGTGTCACGTTGGGGTTTTTAATGTGTTTGTGCATTCTGTTTACATTAAAAGGAAGTAAAAGTAATCCCAACGGCCTTGTCTGCCCCTGAACATGTCCTCCAGGTCTAGAAAGGGGTTTTCTTGCCAGCACGTCTCCTGCCAGGCTGCCTGCCTTCCCATCCATGGGGCACTCTCCAAAGTGCTCTCCCCCCGCCTCCATCTGGAGGTGCCCGGCTCCAGGGCTCGGGGTTGCTGGGTGACGCGTCCTGCACCCGTGGGTTTGATGTCATGTGGTAGGAGCTCCAGGTTTCTCAGGATCACAGTCCTGAGCTGGCCTCAGAGCCCTGGGCTGTCTGCCCCTCCTCACTCAGTCTGCGGCTCTGTGTCTGGGATCTCCCCCTTCTGTTGACGATAAAGGAGCATCCTCTCCAGAACTGCGAGAAGCTCCCTCAGCTCTCCCGCAGGCAGGGGTGAGGGTCAGTCCCTCTCTCTCCCGCAGGCAGGGGTGAGGGTCAGTCCCCTCAGCTCTCCCGCAGGCAGGGGTGAGGGTCAGTCCCTCTCTCTCCCGCAGGCAGGGGTGAGGGTCAGTCCCCTCAGCTCTCCCGCAGGCAGGGGTGAGGGTCAGTCCCTCTCTCTCCCGCAGGCAGGGGGGAGGGTCAGTCCCCTCTCTCTCCCGTAGGCAGGGGGTGAGGGTCAGTCCCCTCTCTCTCCCGCAGGCAGGGGTGAGGGTCAGTCCCTCTCTCTCCCATAGGCAGGGGTGAGGGTCAGTCCCCTCTCTCTCCCATAGGCAGGGGTGAGGGTCAGTCCCTCTCTCTCCCGCAGGCAGGGGTGAGGGTCAGTCCCTCTCTCTCCCATAGGCAGGGGGTGGGAGGTCAGTCCCTCTCTCTCCCGCAGGCAGGGGTGAGGGTCAGTCCCTCTCTCTCCCGCAGGCAGGGGTGAGGGTCAGTCCCTCTCTCTCCCGCAGGCAGGGGTGGGAGGTCAGTCCCTCTCTCTCCCGCAGGCAGGGGTGAGGGTCAGTCCCTCTCTCTCCCGCAGGCAGGGGTGAGGGTCAGTCCCTCTCTCTCCCATAGGCAGGGGGTGAGGGTCAGTCCCTCTCTCTCCCGCAGGCAGGGGTGAGGGTCAGGCCCCTCAGCTCTCCCGCAGGCAGGGGTGAGGGTCAGTCCCCTCTCTCTCCCGCAGGCAGGGGTGAGGGTCAGTCCCTCTCTCTCCCGCAGGCAGGGGTGAGGGTCAGTCCCTCTCTCTCCCATAGGCAGGGGTGAGGGTCAGTCCCTCTCTCTCCCGCAGGCAGGGGTGAGGGTCAGTCCCCTCTCTCTCCCATAGGCAGGGGTGAGGGTCAGTCCCTCTCTCTCCCGCAGGCAGGGGTGAGGGTCAGTCCCTCTCTCTCCCATAGGCAGGGGTGAGGGTCAGTCCCTCTCTCTCCCGCAGGCAGGGGTGAGGGTCAGTCCCTCTCTCTCCCGCAGGCAGGGGTGAGGGTCAGTCCCCTCTCTCTCCCGCAGGCAGGGGTGAGGGTCAGTCCCTCTCTCTCCCGCAGGCAGGGGTGGGAGGTCAGTCCCTCTCTCTCCCGCAGGCAGGGGTGAGGGTCAGTCCCTCTCTCTCCCGCAGGCAGGGGTGAGGGTCAGTCCCCTCTCTCTCCCGCAGGCAGGGGTGAGGGTCAGTCCCTCTCTCTCCCATAGGCAGGGGTGAGGGTCAGTCCCTCAGCTCTCCCATAGGCAGGGGTGAGGGTCAGTCCCTCTCTCTCCCGCAGGCAGGGGTGGGAGGTCAGTCCCTCTCTCTCCCGCAGGCAGGGGTGGGAGGTCAGTCCCTCTCTCTCCCGCAGGCAGGGGTGAGGGTCAGTCCCCTCTCTCTCCCGCAGGCAGGGGTGGGAGGTCAGTCCCTCTCTCTCCCGCAGGCAGGGGTGAGGGTCAGTCCCTCTCTCTCCCGCAGGCAGGGGTGAGGGTCAGTCCCCTCTCTCTCCCGCAGGCAGGGGTGAGGGTCAGTCCCTCTCTCTCCCGCAGGCAGGGGTGGGGGGTCAGTCCCTCTCTCTCCCGCAGGCAGGGGTGAGGGTCAGTCCCTCTCTCTCCCGCAGGCAGGGGTGAGGGTCAGTCCCCTCTCTCTCCCGCAGGCAGGGGTGAGGGTCAGTCCCTCTCTCTCCCGCAGGCAGGGGTGGGAGGTCAGTCCCTCTCTCTCCCGCAGGCAGGGGTGGGGGGTCAGTCCCTCTCTCTCCCGCAGGCAGGGGTGAGGGTCAGTCCCTCTCTCTCCCGTAGGCAGGGGTGAGGGTCAGTCCCTCTCTCTCCCGCAGGCAGGGGTGGGAGGTCAGTCCCTCTCTCTCCCGCAGGCAGGGGTGGGAGGTCAGTCCCTCTCTCTCCCGCAGGCAGGGGTGAGGGTCAGTCCCTCTCTCTCCCGCAGGCAGGGGTGAGGGTCAGTCCCCTCTCTCTCCCGCAGGCAGGGGTGAGGGTCAGTCCCTCTCTCTCCCGCAGGCAGGGGTGAGGGTCAGTCCCTCCCTCTCCCGCAGGCAGGGGTGAGGGTCAGTCCCTCTCTCTCCCGCAGGCAGGGGTGAGGGTCAGTCCCTCTCGCTCCCGCAGGCAGGGGTGAGGGTCAGTCCCCTCTCCCGCAGGCAGGGGTGGGAGGTCAGTCCCCTCTCTCTCCCGCAGGCAGGGGTGAGGGTCAGTCCCTCTCTCTCCCATAGGCAGGGGTGAGGGTCAGTCCCTCTCTCTCCCGCAGGCAGGGGTGAGGGTCAGTCCCTCTCTCTCCCGCAGGCAGGGGTGAGGGTCAGTCCCTCTCTCTCCCGCAGGCAGGGGTGAGGGTCAGTCCCCTCTCCCGCAGGCAGGGGTGGGAGGTCAGTCCCCTCTCTCTCCCGCAGGCAGGGGTGAGGGTCAGTCCCTCTCTCTCCCGCAGGCAGGGGTGAGGGTCAGTCCCTCTCTCTCCCGCAGGCAGGGGTGGGAGGTCAGTCCCTCTCTCTCCCGCAGGCAGGGGTGAGGGTCAGTCCCTCTCTCTCCCGCAGGCAGGGGTGGGAGGTCAGTCCCTCTCTCTCCCGCAGGCAGGGGTGAGGGTCAGTCCCTCTCTCTCCCGCAGGCAGGGGGGAGGGGCAGTCCCTCTCTCTCCCGCAGGCAGGGGGGAGGGTCAGTCCCTCTCCCGCAGGCAGGGGGTGAGGGTCAGTCCCTCTCTCTCCCGCAGGCAGGGGTGAGGGTCAGTCCCTCTCCCGCAGGCAGGGGGTGAGGGTCAGTCCCTCTCTCTCCCGCAGGCAGGGGTGAGGGTCAGTCCCCTCAGCTCTCCCGCAGGCAGGGGTGAGGGTCAGTCCCTCTCTCCCGCAGGCAGGGGTGGGAGGTCAGTCCCTCTCTCTCCCGCAGGCAGGGGTGAGGGTCAGTCCCTCTCTCTCCCATAGGCAGGGGTGAGGGTCAGTCCCTCAGCTCTCCCATAGGCAGGGGGTGGGAGGTCAGTCCCTCTCTCTCCCGCAGGCAGGGGTGAGGGTCAGTCCCCTCTCTCTCCCGCAGGCAGGGGTGGGAGGTCAGTCCCTCTCTCTCCCGCAGGCAGGGGTGAGGGTCAGTCCCTCTCTCGCCCGCAGGCAGGGGTGAGGGTCAGTCCCTCTCTCGCCCGCAGGCAGGGGTGAGGGTCAGTCCCTCTCCCGCAGGCAGGGGTGAGGGTCAGTCCCTCTCTCTCCCGCAGGCAGGGGTGAGGGTCAGTCCCTCTCTCTCCCGCAGGCAGGGGTGAGGGTCAGTCCCTCTCTCTCCCGCAGGCAGGGGTGGGAGGTCAGTCCCTCTCTCTCCCGTAGGCAGGGGTGAGGGTCAGTCCCCTCTCTCTCCCGTAGGCAGGGGTGGGAGGTCAGTCCCTCTCTCTCCCGCAGGCAGGGGGTGAGGGTCAGTCCCCTCAGCTCTCCCGCAGGCAGGGGTGGGAGGTCAGTCCCCCTCTCTCCCGTAGGCAGGGGTGAGGGTCAGTCCCTCTCTCTCCCGCAGGCAGGGGGTGAGGGTCAGTCCCCTCAGCTCTCCCGCAGGCAGGGGTGGGAGGTCAGTCCCCCTCTCTCCCGTAGGCAGGGGTGAGGGTCAGTCCCTCTCTCTCCCGCAGGCAGGTGCGGGAGGGTCAGTCTCTAAGGGCTCTCGGCTTCCGAAGGAAACGTGTTCTGGGGGAGCCTCCCCTGTGTTGGTTCTTCCGTTCAGTGCCTGTCCTGCCCAGATCCTGTGAGCCAGGCCAGGTCCCAAGCTGGGCTTCTGGGACAGGCCCTGATGTGGCAGCAGGCGTGGCAGCCAGCAGTATAGGTAAGTCACACAGCCTCTGAGATGGGACGTCCCGGGGACTGACTGGCATTTTGCCCCAAAGTGGCTTGCACAGGACCAGGGAATCGGACACAGCTGTGTGTGCGTGATGGATTTTTGCCCTCTCCTGCCGGGACCTAGAGGCAGTGTTCTGTGAGGTTACAGTCTCAGTAAGACGGGTTTGCCCTTTCTTACTCCCCAGGCATCCTGGTCAGCCAGCCTGCCTGGTGCGGCTTTGTTCTCCCTCGCTGATTTCCCCAGTCCCTCCTGTGAAGCTTCCTTGACCAGAGGTGCCATTTTCCCTCTTGGTTTTCCAAGGCCAGTAAAATACCTGTATGTGTCTGTGCAAACAAGCACACGGGCTGGCAGAGCTTCGAGGGCTGCAGAGCCTGGGGAGGGGCCGGGGCCAGGGGCCTCCCGGGAGGGGAACCTTGTCATAGCGGAGTGTGCTCGTGGCATCGAGGCCATTTGGACCCAAGTCTTTGTACAGAAATATCTTTGGAGCCAGTGACCACCCGATCTGTGGCTTTGTACCTCATCTGGGCCATGAGGTGGCAGAGTCTGTGAAGGCCCCTGTGTAAATGGCTGAGAAATGTAAAAGGATGATTGTTGCCAGTCAGGCTCAGGGCCCAGTGCTCCTTCAGTCCACTCAGGGATGAACAACCCGTGGCCATATCACTCTGAGGAGGGGAACTTGTCAATCAAGAGTTCCACTTAGCCCAGCCGGCATGGCTCAGTGTTTGAGTGTAGACCAGAAAGTCAGTGTTCGATTCCCGGTCAGGGTACATGGACATGTTGCAGGCTTGATCTCTGATGGGGAGCGTGTAGGAGGCAGCTGATCAATGATTCTCTCTCATCATTGGTGTTCTTATCTCTCTACCCTTCCTCTCCGAAATCAATAAAAAAAAACCAAAAAAAAAAACAACCATCTATATCTATCTATCTATCTATCTATCTATCTATCTATCTATCTATATTTTAAGTTAACCACTTAGGGGCGCCAGATAGGCAGGCAGGGCTGATATTGATGCTTCCAGCGTTTGGCCCTGGTGCTCACTATGCGCCAGCCACTGCTCTGAGTTTCTGTCTATAGCGGATTGTTTTTAATGCCTCTGAGAAACTGGCACGCAGCAGGTAAAGAACTTGCCCAAGGTCACAGAATAGCAAGAGCCCGAGCCTGGATGCAAATGTGTGGCTCCCACTCGCCCACCCTCCCCCTGTTCCTCACCGTTCCCGGCACTTACCGCAGAGCACCCGTGTGCTGAGTCATTCCCCTTAGTCAGCACTTGGCGTTTGCTCCGGCGTGAACCCTGGAGAGATTCTAGGGAGATGTCAGTGGATGGAGGCTCTGAGTGGCCACCCAAGCTTGACCTTGGCCCGGCCTCTGAGTGCCCCGAATGTGCCCCCCTCTCAGGGTAACTTGGTTATTGCTGCGACCTTGTCTTCTTTTCTGTCCAGGCCTGGAAGTCTTTCTCCGGGATCCCAGTAGGCTGTGCGGCTGCTTCTGCCGAGCCCGTTGGTTACCTCCCGGGAGGCCAGCCGGCTTCCTGTCTGCCCTCTGAGGAACGGGCTTCTCAGACAAGCAGGATCTGGGCCGTTCCTTTGGCACTTGGCACCGTCGGCCTCACGCTGCACAAGCACCCTCTGGGAGTCGGCAGCCCTGACGTTCACCCTGGCCTCGAGGTGTAGCCGCTGAGGGGCCTGAACTCGGCAGGCTCAGCCCCGCTTGTCTCTCCGGAGGAGCTGGTTTCATAGCAGCAGGTGATATGAGGCCTGAGCAGTGGGTAGCCGACACCTACACACCGGCTGGCCAGAAGCAACAGATAAAAGGCAGCTATTCTCTTTTTTATTTTGATTAATCCTCACCCGAGGATATTTCCCCATTGGTTTTTAGGTGGGGTGGAAGAGAGCAGGAAAGGCAGAGAGAAACATCGGTGTGAGAAAAACACATGGATTAGTTGCCTCCTGCACAAGCCCCAACCGGGGTCCAGGCCGGGAGGAGCCTGCAACCAAGGTACCTGCCCTTGACCGGAATCGAACCCGGGACCCTTTGGTTCGCAGGCTGGCCAGGGCTAGCTGCTATTCTTAATATTGCTAACGACTTTCCAGCTCCGACCTTCAGTGACTTTGCATTCACCTCCTGTGCCCCCTGGAAAACAGACCGTGTCATAGGCCTTATATCGCTGACCCTTAGCTCGCTGCTCTGAATACAGAGACTCAAGAGTCAGCCACTGATCCAGCAGCCCTGCCAGCGTGCCCTGAGGCCTGTTCTGGGGCCCAGGGGACAGAATACTTTCCTCACCGAACGAACGCACAGCTGAAAGGCAGCCATTAAAGCAGGTGAGAGCCAGGGCTAGCAGCTAATGCCAATTCACAGGAGGTTAGACTGGAAGGTTGGCAATATTAAGGATAGCTGTAGCCCTGGCCCCAGCCGTGCCGCCTCCCGGAGAAGAGCCTGGGCGGAGCCTGCAGCGGGGGATAGGGAGGGTGGGCCTGAGAGCACACCTTCCCCGCCCCGGAGCCAACAGCCAGGAGGAGCCTGTGGCGGAGGCTGGGGCAGTGGCGAGTGTGTTCTCCCTCTGCCCAGCCCAGGGAATGCCCAGTTCCTGGTGGTGCCAGCCTCTGTTCCGGTCGGGCGGCAGGGGGCCTGTGCTTCGGGGTGTGACTCGGGTTGATGTGTAAGGACGGAGGTGGGAGGATGATGGAGGGCCTCTCAGAACCGTGTCTGGTGCTGATGCTGGACTGAGACTGGAAGCCTGGCCCGGGCCTGCGTGGTTCTCCCCTCACTCCGCCCCCTTTCTTCAGCTGGGTCCCCGGGCCCTGCCAGGACCAAGACAGGGCTCCTCCGGGCGGCCTCGCTGGGCAGAGAGGAGCTTAGCATAGGCTAGCAGCTCTCTCAGAGCCGGGATTCCAGGAGGGGCACTCCCCTTCCTTTACCAAGAGGCGACCAGAGGCTCAGCCTGGCCTTGGAGAGCATGGGGGCTGGGCTGAGGGCCATGCTCACCTCCAGCAAGGCTGGGCCATGGCATCTGGAGCCCGGGGGCTGCGCCTTCGCGGTGAGACGCCGGGGTGGGGAGGAGGGGCGGGGGATGCTAATGGGAAGCAGGTGGAAGGGTGCCTGTGTCCCAGCCCGGGGACAGGCCCCGGGGATGGCCCCGCCAGTGGGAGAACCCGTCAGCGCGCAGATAATCCCGGGAACAGGCTCCGAGATGCCCATTCATATTCATTATGTGTGAAGCGGGCGGTTGTAAAGTTCGCTTTCCCTTCATTTAGCTGTCACTGGACAGAAAAATATGAGCTGTGGGCAGATGCCCCTGGATGGGAGCCAGTAGCTGGTCTCGGCCTCCCTGTGCCCTCCCCCGCCGGCCCCTCCTGGCCTCTGCCCGCCTCCAGCTCCCACTGCAGGCATCCGGGCTCCAACGTACTTTCTCTCTCATCTGTCTCCTTCCCACTCCTGCTTCCTCGGCTTCCCCAGGTCTCTTCCTCTCCCCTCTCTCCATCTTTTCCTAAGCTGTGCTTGGCCACTGCTCCGTCTCGCACCCAGCACAGTGCCGGGCACAGAGTGGTTTGTAAAACAAACTGCTCTCTCTGACCTGGTGGGTCGGAAAGTCCAACATTGTGCTGGCCTCTCCTCCTGGCAAGAAACTTTCGGTCTTAGCTCTGGGCTGAGACACGTGGGTTTGCGCCGCCGTCATTGACCAGCTGGTGGAGGCAGCTGGTGCCACTCCTTCCCCTCGGCCTCTTCCCTTCCTGAGGAGCCAGGCTCACCTGGAGCCAGAGCCAGCGCCGGCACTGAGAGGAGAGGAGCCGCCGGAGGCCAGGCCCTGAGCGAAGGGAAGAGAAGGGGGACACGTCCAGTCCAGGGACTATCTCCGCAGGAAGGCCCACCTGATGGGGGACTTGCTCCCCTTTGGGATAAGCCCAGCGCGGGGAGTCTGCGCCTGGAAGAGGAGGCGCTGGGGATGGAGGGGGGTGGGGCTGCCGGCTGAGCCGGGCTCGGAGCAATGTGGTGGGATTAACCGAGGGTGGGAGGCCAGCCCTGGTTTTCCTGCCTTCGGGGCTGGGGAGATAAGGCGGAGTGGGGATGAAGGATAGAATGGCTAATACTCCGAAACCACAAGAAAGGGTCCTGGCTTTCGTCTGGGCCCCACAGCCCAGACATGCTCCCAGGGCGTCTGGGGAAGGAGCCGCCCCACCCCCACGGCCCTGGGGTCCCGCCCAGGGGAGCTCACAGCCCTCAGAGGGCCTTCGGTCTTCCATCCACTCCCCTTCCTTCCCACCACCAGTCTGCCCTCCTTAAGGAGACCGGCCCCTGGTACACACAGCCAGAGCCTGGGCAGGGCACAGGGCGGCGTGGCAGGCACCAGCCTGAAGGGCCTGGCCCAGCCAGGGCCCTGAGCACACCAGTCCTGGAGCTAGCCAGTGCCAGCCCCTGAGATACGCAGTCACCGGGTCCAAAACACTGCACCTTTATTACTATGCCGGCAGCACACTTGTTTGTACAAAAGCGTCTTTACAGAAGTGTGGGCTGGATCTCAGGGCCTCAGAGTGGGGGGGCTCTTTCTTACCAACGCCCAGCCAGTAAACCAAGGGAGCCCAGGGTCTCCGTGGCATAGCTCTGGCCTGGCCCCGAGGAGGAGAATCCAGGTATTTGGTGGTTTCTGGTGGAATGTCTGCCCCTTGGAGGGAAGAGGACTCCACGGCATGTTGGGGAGGGGCACAGGGGAGAAGGAAGGGGCGGCTGGAGCAGGGGAGACCTGAGCCCCAACTCCCTGCAGCTGCCAGGCCCTCCGCTGGGTGCACGCCCCCTGGTGGCGGGAAGGGGAGTGAGGCCCCGGGTGGTCTTGGGAGATTCTGCTTTTCCCCTAAGTCACCAGATGCTCTGCTTCCACCCTGTCTTGCTTCCGTCGAAGCCAGTTCAGTTGGAGGGGCTGAAGGAGGAGGCAGGACGGAGTCTCCAGCCCAGCATGTGGGTGTGGGGACCCAGCGTGTGGCAGGAATCTCCCCACCGGCTTCCAAGCCCGCTCTCCTGGGCAGCCCGCCTCATTCTGAGAGAGAAGATTCTGTCCGCCCCGGGAACCATCTGGAGCTCGGAGGCAAAGGTGTGCCCCTCTGACTTCCAGGCCAGGGTGGGGCGGGCGCCGCCGGGCACAGGGCAGGGGGTGGCAGCTCAGCCTGCGTGTCCACACGCCCCATCACGTGGTCCAGTTCAGCAGGCCGGGCGGCTCCTTCGGCTTCACCCTGAGCGAGACGAGGCTCGGAGACTTGTAGTCGACGTCGGGGCTGGCCTCGAAGCTGTGGTCCCCCAGGGCGGGGGAGAAGCCGTGGAGGGAGTAGAGGCCGGGGTGCGCTCCGGGGGAGGCGGGCACCCCCATGAAGCCAGCCACGTTGCCGTGCGGCGAGTGGGCGTAGGGAGACATGCACGGGGAGGGGACGCCCTCCGGAGACACCAGGCAGGGCCCGGCGGGGCTCCGGGCCGCGGGGCTGGGCCACAGGGAGTTCTGCAGCTGAAAGAGAAGGCAGGCCGGTGAGTCCGCCCCCGACCGCCCCTAACCAGGCTCTCTCTGCCCCTAGGGCTCCGCACGCTGCCAAGAAGCCTCCACTTGGCACGGGTCTAGAATCTGCCACCCTCCTCCTTCCACCACTCCCCCGTCCCCCACCCCCCTGCAGAGGAGTTTCCTCGGAGTCCTCTGGGCCGGCTGCTCTGGGCCGGCAGGTGACGAGGGGCCCGCTGGGCAGAGGGAGGCGTGCTCTGCACAAGTCACACAGGCCCTGAGGCCACTCCAGGTCTCCCCGGGCCAGCGCTCACACTCCCTGGCTCCCCCGCGGGACCCGCACACCCGACTCAGCAGGGGCTCGGCAGGGGGCGGGGGGCGTCTCACCTGGGGGTGACTGTCCGATCGGGGCAGCGCAGAGATGTCGTAGGCCGAGGAGAAGGGGTTCCGGCCCTCCTGGATCTTCCCGTAACGCTCCCGCTTCCGCCACTTGGCTCTGCGGTTCTGGAACCAGACCTGGGGGCACAGGGGGCGCCGAGGGGGTGCTGAAGGGCCCTGAGGAGGGGAAAGGCTGGGGGAGTTGATGGCGGTGTCCCCCAGGGTGGCAGCTGGCCATCGTTTACGTGTCGGCCTCCGGACGAGTCGTTGGCGATATCAAAGCTGAGCCAAACCCAAACCATTGCCCTGCTTTCTAGGGAGCTAGCTGGGGCTGCAAACAGGAGCAGGTGTGTGTGTGTGTGTGTGTGTGTGTGTGTGTGTGTGTAAAAGTAACCTCACCTGAGCCCTCACGCTTGCCCACAGTCACATCCCCATGCAGGCAGGTCAGGCCCTGAGTTAAGAACCTGGGGCTGCAGAGACCCCACCGCAGGCCTGGGCACTGGCAGGGAGGACCGCCCACCTGCCAGCTCCCTGCAGCTCCCAGCCTTCCTCTCCCCCGTCAGAGGAAGTGTCCCTACTCCAGGGCCTCAATCACTGGGAAGCTTCTGGACTAGGTCTGGGCCTGTGGCTGTGCCCGCACCCCTCCAGGACTGAGAAGGCCAAGGAAGGGGAAGGGTCCGCCCCAGAGCAGCTCTGTAGGGGGTGCTGGTCAGGGCCCAGCCCGGAGGCTGGCAGAGGCCTGGAAGGGAGACCTGTTGCTTGGGCTTCGTGCTTATGTAATCTGGGCTGTCCTGCCTGCCGGCCACCTCCCTCCGATGGCCCCAGACCCTGGGGAGCGCGGTGGACAGTTCCAGAAAGCAGGGGTGGTGAAGGGGTGGGAGCCTCCGTGAGAGTCAGGCCTGGGAGGAGGAGGGAGGAACATGGAGGCAGGAGGACCCAGCGCAGACGAGGGGACAGCCGGAGCCCCTCTGGCTCTGCATGGGAACCAGCCGGGGGCCTTCTCGATGGGGCGGCACTGCGCTGGCGCCCCCTATCCTGCCAGAGTGCCCTGCGCCAGGGTTTCACAGGCTCCAAAGGGGCCCCTGCAGGGGGGACAGCGTGAGCTCTGCCCCCACCAAGTCTCCCGTCTGGAAACCACCGCTGTGCCTCTCCCCAGAAGCCCACCACGCCCTCCCCAGAAGCCCACCGCGCCCTCCCCAGAAGCCCACCGCGCCTCCCCAGGGCCTCCTGCTCGCAGGGCAGGGACCTGCCGTGTCAGGAACTCCCAGCGAGGCCACAGCGGCCACCTCCTCCCGGGCCCAGCTCACAGAGCCTCCCAGCCCCTCGCCACCCTGGCTCGCCACCTTCAAGTTCATTCCCACTTCCAACAGCCTTAGGCCATGACTTCCCGTCTCCCCCTCCCTTGTTCCTAGGCCCCCAGTCCCACCCGCACCCCACGGGCTGGGCTCCACGGCTGTGAAGCCGGGCCAGGGCCCCTCCAGGAGGCGGGGGCCTGCTTCCTGCTGGGAGGTTTGCGGGGTGGGGCGGGGCTCCTGGCCAGGGTCTGAGTGCTGGCAGGACTGAGAGTCACTGGCTCAGGATGGCTCTGGCTGTCACTGAGCCTGAGACACCCCCCCCCCCCCCCCCCCGTCACCCCAGGAGACCCTCCCATCCCACAGCCACCTCCGGGGCAGCGCTGATCTGTGCTCAGCATCTCCCTGCTTCCACCGGCTGCCCTCGGGGAAACCGAGACCCAGACATCCAATGGCATGTCCCCAACCACCCAGTCAGCTGGCGCCGGCAGAGGGGACTGCCACCCCCATACTTGGGCATCAGCCTCAACGTGGGCTGCCAGCCCGGGGCCCCAGCTGAGCTGGGCGTGGAGGGCGAGCCCCGGAGGGCAGGCACCTGGGACAGGCAGCCCTCCCCCGGCCTGGCCCGCCGTCCGTCCGGGAGCCCTCACCTGAACCCGGGCCTCGGTGAGGTCTGTGCGCAGGGCCAGCTGCTCCCGGGCGTACACGTCGGGGTAGTGCGTTTTCTGGAAGACCTTCTCCAGCTCCTCCAGCTGGGACGTGCTGAAGGTCGTGCGGTTGCGGCGCTTCTTGCTCTTGCTCTTGGCCAGCTCCATGGGGTCGGGGAGTCTCGGGGACAGGGGGACGCGCAGGCTGGCCAGGCAAGGGCCCGGGGAGCCTTGCAGGGTGGGGGGCCCGTCTCGGGGGCCCCCTCGGCAGTCCGAGGGCAGCTGGGGGAAGCTGGCGGCCTTGGGGGCCTTCTCCTCCGCTGCAGTGGAGACACAGAAGGGATGGAAACCAAACCCGAGGGTTTTGTGGGTGGGATGGAGGGAGGGGAAGACTGTTGACGCCTCAGTCCCCGCCTCCCCCTTCCTTTTCCTTCCCTTCCCCGGGCAGCCACCCTCCGTGGGAGCCTGGCATGAGGCGGTGCCCAGGGGAGCCCGGCTGCCTGTGGTCTGGGCGGATCTGCCGGGGCCAGAGGGGGTCTGTTTCGGGGAAGCGCTCTGGGGTGGCACAGCCCACAGGGCGTGGAGGTGCCAGGATCGGCGCCATGGCAGGGCCTGGCGCAGGGGTGGGAGGAGGGGGTGACGATGGGAGGGTGGACATCTAGCTCCCTGCCCTTGCCAGAAAGTGCCTCGTGGCCCCTGACTCTGAGGGCCTTGGCTCCCATGTCTCCGTGCCCAGAACACGGATGCTGGTCTGGACCCCAAGTCTCAGGGCTAAGTCAGACCCCCTAGCCCTGAGGTGTGAAGGACCAGCTTCCATGGGCACCCTCTCTCCCCTGCCCACATCCTGATGCTTGGGCAGGCAGTAAGCTCCAGCGAGAGAGGCAGGAGGTGGGCTGTGCACAGAGAAAGGGAGCTGGGGGACCCGTGTTGAAACCGGGCACAGCCCCAACCCCGTCGTTCCCATCCTCGCCAGCCCCTCCCTCCCCAAGAGCCTGACACGCAGGGGGCCTGAGCCGGCGCCGGGGACGGTCCCCAGCTGCCCTCCCCCCGGACGCTGGGGGCGTCCTGCCAGGACCAGGCACAGTGAGAAACAGGCCACCCCACTGCCCGCTCTGCCTCTGGCGAGGCCCCCAGCAGCTCCACCCGACAGTCTGCTGGGATGGCAGGGGCGACGCCACCGAGACGCCCAGACTCACACGGCCCCTTCCCTGGCCCGGCCTGTCCTCAGCAGGGCCTGGCCCCAGAGGCCCAGCCAGCTGGCACCGAAGGGCAGTTTCTTCCCCAGCATTTGTGTCAGGATCACAGCTGCCATGGGGGTTGGTGGGTGGGGAGGATGGGGCTGGGAGATGGTTCTGGGGCTCCGGGTCTGATGGATCCCTCTGTGCGTGTAGAGGACAAGTTGTTCAAGGTGCCCCTTGGCTGGAAGGCGGTCAGGGACCTCCCAGGACCCCCCGGGAGCTGAAATAAGTGGTGTGTCCTGGAGGCGTGGGGGAGTCAGATAGATGTCCCTCACCGCCGGGCGCCAGGGTCCCTCCGGCTCAGGTGAGCCTCCCAGAATCCAGAGGAGGGAGTGCTCCCGCTCTGGCTTCCCATCTGGGCCACGTTGTGTTGTCGTTGTTCTAGGAGCTCAGGAGGAAGGGCTTTGGGAAGGTGAAGCCAATAACTGGAAATGGTCAGGGAGGCCGGGAGCTGACAAGGCCTGACATGTAGCAGGCCTGAGTCCCAGGTTCGGAGGGTACAGGGTGAGCGTGGCTCAGGGATAGGGGCTCGGGGAGCGCGGACAGCACCGCAGAGGGCACTGCCCTCACCCCACAGCTCTGGGGCTTGCTCTTCTGCCTCCGGGGCCCTCAACATCTGTTCCAACGGGCTCTTCCCGGAGGAAGCGACCAGACCTGGGGCTGCAGGGCTGGCCTCCCTGAGCATGCCACCCAGGATCAGGGATGAGTGCGCAGCGGGACTTCTCAGGATGGCTCCCCGCAGAGCACAGCCTGCTGGCCTGGGGCGGCCTCCCACCCTGCCCGGTCCCAGCCCTCACCGCCAGGGACCAGAGCTTCTCCCTCCTGCCACTGCCCCCGAACCTCCCCATCTGCCTGAGGACTCCGGGAGGGCACGGCCCCCTCTTTAGAAGACCGGGCAGCGTCCAAGAACACTTAGCAGCCTCCTGGGGACAGAAGCCCAGAGCAGGCATGCAGAGGTGGAAGTGGAGGTGGAGGTGGGCGGCAGAGCCAGCAGTTTGCATTTTAGCACCTAAGGCCCAGTGCCTATGGGCTGTGTGGGAGTCACTGGCACCTGGCGGGGACCCTGGGCGGGAAAGGAGGGGAAAGGGGGAACGCTCATGTTGGACCCTGGGAGCCTGGGGCTCAACGCTGTGTGTCTAGGGCCACAGGAGCCAGGGGTTGGGGGTCAAAGGGAAAGGCAGGTGCCAGGACAAGGACCTCTGAGGGGCCACGGAGCTCAGTCCCTGGCTCGCTGCAGCCTCGGGGCCAGGCAGTGCAGGAGCACACCACGGGGGCGCCCGCCCAGAGCCCCACTGCCCCCACGATGGCATCCACGGAGGCATCATGTCTTCCCTGCCCACATCCTGACGTTTGGGCAAGTAGTAAGCTCCAGCAAGAGAGGCAGGAGGCAGCTTGAACTTCCTCGGCAGCTTGCTGCGCGCTCGCGCCATCTCCCCAGCGGCCCTCGGTGCTGGCGGAGGCCAGGGTCCCCCAACGCTGGCTACAGGCATCATAGTCGCATGGGGGACCCCCGTGGAGTGCTCTCCCTAGAGTTTCCCAGCCTGGCCTCTGCCAGGGGCCAATAACCTGGAACTCCCCTCGAGGCATGGTCCGCCAGGGAGTGCGGCCCCTCCGAGTACCGGGCTCAGGGCCTCCGCCGTGACAAACCAAGTCCGAGGTCAGGGAGCCAGGCGCAGAGACAGACGGCGTGGCCCCGGCAGAGCAGGAAGGACCGCCAGGCCGCTCCCGGGCTCTGAGCAGCCGGGCACCGAGGGCGCGAGGCGGACCGCGCCGCCTGGACACGGGGGACCCCGGGCCGGGCTGGGCGCTCTCCCCCGGGACCCGTCCACGGAGGAGCCGGCTCCGGGGCGCGCAGCTGCCCGGCCGCGGCCAATCTCGCGCTGCAGATGGGGAGCAGCTGCGCGCTCACTGGTCTGAACTGGAAACAGCCGTGGCCGCTCCTTTAAAAGCGGGAAAATCAGGCGGCTTCCCCGTTTGCCCGCCGCGTCCCACCTGAAGCCGACGGCGCGCCCCGCACCCGGGGCCTCCCTCCCCGCAGCCCGGCTCCGCCGCTCGGTTCCCGCCGCAGCGCCGGGCGCGGGGGCTCTGCCTGGCTCCGCTCCGCCGGGCGCCTCCGTTCCGTCCCGCCGGTCCTCCGCTCCGCTGGAGCCGCTCCTGTTCCTCTCCCTCTCGCCTGTCGGCTGGTTCTTGCTCTCTCGGGACGTCCCCTCTCCTTTCGTTTTGTCTGCTCCCGCGCTCTCCGTTTGTCCCTCCTCCGTTACCCGCTTCGTTCGTTCGATCGCCGCTGGCTCGCTCTCCTGGTTCGCTCTTCCTCTGTTCTTTCCCGTCCTGCCCGGCTCGCCGGCCGCCTCTGCTCCCCACGATCGCCCCCTCCTCCGATACTTTGTTCCGTTTCCTTTGCCCCCTTCTCGGCTATTTACACGCTTTGGTTTTCTTTCCGCGCATTTCGTTGCCGCCCGCCCCCCCCCCCCTCGCCGCCGCCGCGGCCTCCTCCCTCCGCTCCCTCCGCGGGGTGCTCGGCGCCGGGCGGGGATCCGGGCGCCCAGCGGGGACCCGGGCCCGCGGGTGGATCCTGCCCGACGCCCCGCGCCCCGCTCAGCCGGGTACCTGTCCCCGGCGGGGCCGCCTCTGGCTGGGATCAGAGGAGCCGGGCCAACTGCTTCTCATTAAGTCCCAACTGTGGTTTTTATCAGGAGAGCCCCTTTCAAAGGGCGCAGACACGGAGCTCCGCGGCCGCGCTCATTTCCTCCGCTGACCCCCACCGGCCTCCCCGCACTCCCGCCGCCGGCCGGGCCCAGGCCGGAGCTGCCCGTCCGCTCCACGGAGGCCCGCGGGCGCCGGCGGGGCGGCGGCGGGCAGATCTCGGGGGACCCAGCGCTGGGCCTAAGCTCAGGGATGCGGCAGCGCCCAGGTTCCTGCAGGTCCGCCCGTGCAGTGGGCGCTGTCGGCACTCGGACCCGCCTGCCCGCCCGGCCGGGGCATGCAAGCTCCGTCTCGGGAGGTGGCGCGGTCCACCCGGCCTCTGCGCCCAGAACTCTGGGCGCCGGGAGGAGGCCGGCCGGCTGCTCCAGAGGCCCGGGCGGCGGCGGCGGCGGCGATCCGGTGCGGGGAAGCCCAGCCTGCGAGAGGGCGGCCATCGCCCGGCCAACCCGCGGGCGGCAGGTCAGTCTGAGAAATAAGCACCGTTATTCCGCAGGGAGCTCGGCCCCGTGCGCGCCCTCCCCGCGGAAGCCGGGCCTGGGAGGGGAGGCCGGCGGAGGCCAGGCCGCAGCCCCCGGCAGGCCCGGCGTAGCCAGGCCGGGTCGGGGCCCAGCCTCGGGGCTGCAGCAGGAGCTACACGCAAGAAAGCAAACCGAACCCGCGCTTCTCTCTCATCAGGGCCCGTGGCTCAGAGTGGCTCCAGGGCCCTGGCCGGTCCGGGCTGCTGGGCGGGTGACAGCTCCAGCTCCATCCGCCGAGCATGCTCTCCTTCCCGGCTCCGGCCGCCTTGGGGTCCGTCTGGGCCCCGAGCTTTCGCCGCTGGCCCTCGGCCTCCCGTTCCCGCCGCCAAAGGAAGGCACACGTGGCTGCCGCCCGCACCGCCGGCTCCTGCAAACCGGCCCGGCCCGCTCCGCTGCCGAGGGCGCCGGGTGCGGGCGGGAGGGTCACGGAGTGAGAACTGAGCGAGCGGGAGGGGGAAGCGGGGAGGCCGGGCGGGGAGGGAAGGGGAGCGGGTCGGCTGCGCTCCCCCGGTTACCTTCCGCCGGGCCCTCGTAGAAGCGGCCGCCGTTGGGCGCGGGGCCGGGCCCCAGGTCCTGCAGGTACTTGGCGGGCGGCTCGGCCGGCTCCGGGAGGAAGGGCTCCAGGGGCCCGCAGGCCGGAAAGCGGCTCAGGCGGGGGCCCCGGGGCGGCGCGGGGTGCAGGTGAGACGCGGAGGCCGAGGCACCCTGGCCACCCGGAGGCTCGTCCCCGGCGGCCGCGTAGGGGTCGGGCCCGGGCGCCAAGCCGAAGGGCGCGCAGCGCTGCGCGGGGTCCATGCCGTCGGCTCGGGGCGCGCAGGCCGCCGGGCTCCCGGGTGCGCAGCCCGCGCGGCTTGTGAGCGCCGCCGAGGGGGAGGGACCTGGGCGCGGGGCGCGGAGCCCCGGGAGCGGCTGCACCGCTGGGGGGGGGGGGGGGGGGGGGAGCGGGCGGAGGACCGGAGGGGGCAGCGCCTCGGCTGGAACCATCCACGTCACGTGCAGCCCCGCGCGGGTTAACCCCTCGGAGGCCGGGAGCCCCCAGATTCACCCCAACCCGTGGATCCGAGGCAGTTGGAGGAGCAGGGAAGGCCCTTTTGTCTGCTCGCCGGTCTGGGCGAGGCCCTGGTTCAGAGCAGGAACCTGGGTCCTGATGTGCCTTCTGGAGAGTGAAGCAGTTTGGGGTAGAGTCCTCCCTCCGCCTTCCCCAAAGCGAACTGGTGGCCGGGCAGCCCGGGATAAGGACCAAGGCAGGTCAGGTAAGGGCTGGGACTTGACTACCTCTTTGCTGAGACCTGGGAAAAGTTGCCTCCAGCGAAACACCTCCCTTAGAGATCTCACTTCTCCCAGGAATCAGAGTCCCTGCGAGTGTGGTTTGAACCGGCTCTGATCTGGGGCTGGGGGCTGGGCACTGTGTTAGCTGCGGGACCTTGAACCAGCCCGCTGCTGCCCTCATCTAACTGGTTAACCGAGTCAGTCCTCCGTCTTCGTATATTCCCGATGGGTCTGAAACGGGGTGGCAGGGCTGGTGCAGACAGGGGGACATGCAGGGGCAACTAGAGGCGCCTTTGGAGCAGGTGGTGGAGCATGGCCCGTTCTGAGTTTGAACAGCAGGGAGACTGCCTTCAGTGGGCAAATGACCTGGAAGTGCCCGCCCGGGACCCACTGTAGAGAACCCCCCACCGCACCCCACCCCACCCCCCACCCCCCTCACCCCGAAACTCAGACCCAGGGCTCTGCCGCCCTGGCCTCGGGTTTTGCAGGAGGGGAGGGGAGGATCACGTCTGAGAGCTGGGGCTCTCCCGCCTCGGGGAAGCACAGGACTAGCACAGTAGCCCAGAATTTCTGAAAAGGGAAGCGGCCCCCACCCAGCTAAGGTCCCGGAAGAAACAGAAACAGCAGAGGGTCCCGCTCGCTTCTGTGCTCGCAGGAGTCCCTCCGTGCGGGTCACGCTGGCTTTCAGTCTTTGTTTCCAGTGAGAAAGGTGGGAGTCAAACATCATTTGTATTTCGTTTGAATTCTCTGTTTCTGAAGGAATCCAAGAAGCCTGGTGCGAACACCTCCCTCTTCCGCCGGGGGCTCAGGGGGGGCTCCTGGCTGTCCTCAGCCGGGGCTGGGCTATAAATCAAGGCCAAACAGGAACCAGAAGCCTTGCATCTCCAAAGTAGTCATTAAGCCATTATTAAACATACCGTAACTTCTCTGAAGCCTTATTGGTTTAAACACCACATTGGAGGCATTATGGCCATTAGGGCCCCTAATCACAGCCTGCAGACGGCGGCTGCGATGGGAGCACCTGGGGCTGGGGCTTCCAGCAGAGCAGGCAGCTCGGCTCTCGGCTCTCGGGGAAGTTCCTCTCTGGCCTCGCTGCCTGCGCAGCGGGGATCCGTTCTCTGGGACCCAGAGGATCCCAGCACCCGGCAAGCAGCTTGTACGGTCACTTTGGACCAGAGTCACGTTTTCCAATGGTTGTTGGGTAGCTGGTGTGTGGGTATCCGTCTTCCTTTCAGGAGGAAGTTAGTGTTGGTAAAGGAAAAAAGTGTTTGCAAACGCATCTAGCCTGTGGTAGACACAGTCTGACACGGGAAAAGTGTCCCCATCAGCAGCATAAGTGAGGCAGCCTGGCTTCCATGCCAAGGTTTTTGCCTCCGGCGATAAAGTAGGCCTTCGTTTGTTTGCCATAAAAACGTGCAGTGCTTGGTTTGGCTCAGTGGAGAGAGCGTCCGCCTGCGGACTGAAGGGTCCCAGGTTTGATTCCCGTCAAGGGCATGTACCTTGGTTGCGGGCACATCCCCAGTGGGGAGAGTGTAGGAGGCAGCTGATGGATGTTTCTCTCCCATCCATGTTTCTAACTCTCTGTCCCTCTCCCTTCTTCTCTGTAAAAAATCAGTAAACTGGCAGAGACCGGTTTGGCTCAATGGATAGAGCGTCGGCTTGAGGACTGAAGGGTCCTGGGTTCAATTCCAGTCAAGGGCATGTACCTTGGTTGCGGGCATATCCCCAGTAGGGGGTGTGCAAGAGGCAGCTGATCGATGACTCTCTCATTGATGTTTCTAACTCTCTATCTCTCTCCTTTCCTCTCTGTACAAAATCAATAAAATATATATATTTTAAAAAATCAATAAACTGTATTTTTTAAAATGGGCCATGCCCATGGGTGAGGAGTATTTGAACAGCACTTACATTTCAGTGGTTGTGACGAACTGTGCAAAGAGACGGTTAATATCGTGACACTGTTCAGAAGCAGCAGCCCGGACTTCTGGGTTATATCACCAAGAGAGGGAAGGCTCCCGAACACGGACTGAATGGGCCAGAGGCTGGGACGGGGCAGACAGAAGTGGGGACTGCTACCCCCTTCCCAGCCCCAGCGGTTCTCCCTGACACCCTCCCACTCACACAGGCCAACTTGCAGGCCGGCATGGTGTTGCCAGCCAAACTGAGGCGGCAGGCGGCCCCAGGTTCGCCCTCGGGCTGGATGGGTGGCCGGAGTCGCCCCCTGGGAGGGTTCTGTCCCGGGACCATGCAAGTCACAGAGGAGCCTGTGCGGTCCCTTTGACATCACTGCTGCCAGCTCTTCTGAGCCAGGCGTGGTCCGGGACGCATTTGATGGGGCAGGTGCATCGAGAATGCCAAACAAAAAGGCACCTTGGTGACTGAGCTTTCCCTCTCAGAGGGCTGAGAGGTCTGGGCGACCCCAGGTCCTCGCTGTGCAGACAACAGACAGGAGCGCTGGCTAGCACGCAGCCCTTCCCGTGTGCCAGGACTCCCCCCCGGGGCCTGTGTGCACTGATTCTCACAGTGACCGCAGGAAGTGGACGCCGTTCTCCCCGTTTCACAGAGAAGGAGACGGAGCTACAGCAGAGAGCTGGCTGCCCAGGGTGGACACAGCCACTTAGTGGCAGGACCAGGATCTGCATTCAGATCCGGGGTCTCCCAGGCCTTCTTAGGCTGATGCCAGGCGGCTGACAGCATGCCAGGGGGAGGACGGTCAGGGCTCCTTTCTGGAAGGGGAGGAGGAAGGCCAGCCTGACGGGGGACAGGGCTGGTCCTGGGTGGAGCCCCACGGCCGCCTTCCTGATCGCCCAGTGGCTTTTTCTGGAGACCCGCTCGGCGCCCAGCTGCAGTGGCCCTGCAGTGAGTGGGGAGCGGTGTCTGCTGAGAGAGGAGAAATGAAACCTCCCGCCTCACACCTGAGAGGTTTTACGACCCACCGGCTCAGCCAGATGTGAGGCAGAGCTTAAAGGGAATTTGCAAGTTCACCGTTCACACTGTTTAATAACCAGTGGGGTTGCAATAGCGCTTGGCACTGATGGATTGATTGTCCATGGAGACGAACTGACCAGATGATCCAGAAAATCCTAAGTCCTGTCATCACACACACACACACACACACACACACACACACACAGAAAATCTCTGTTCCCGCTGAGAAAGAATTACTTTTAAAATGGAAATGACACTGACTGGCTGTTTCTCTGCAAGTGTTTCTGGCTGGCTAATTGCTTAATCCATCCTCTGAACAAGAGGATGCCCGTACTGCCTGACGGGCACTGCTGGCCCTGGGATGCAGCAGAGAGCAAGATGGGCAGACCCCCGTCTTCACGGAGCGTGCGCTCTGCTGGGATGGCGGAGTGGCCGTGTGAGCACAGTCATAACGTGGACGTGAGGGGGACGAGCGGAGTTCGGACTTCTTGCCTCTGTTGTACATCCGTTCTTGAACCCGGGTCTCTCCTGCCCCTACTAGCACTTTTCATTTCCACTTCCCTCCACCTACGTCCCAGGAAGGCGGATGCCCTCTCTGTCCCCAGCCGAGGGCCGGAAGGGGTCGGGACAGCGGGAGAGAAGTAACCTCGCTTCTGACGTTTGTTCGACGTACACAAAGCTTCCTCCCGGACAGAGCAGCTCCGTGGCTTTGTTTTCCTTCGCAGGGAAGGCAGTCAGGATTGCCCTGGCCCTGTTTGGGCTCTGAAACCCTCCATGGATCCCGTGAAAGTGCCGGATCTGGGAGCAAAGTGGCTTGTTTCTCATTAGTGACACCCTTCCGGGAAGGTCAGGCTCAGGAATGGTAAATAAACGTGCAGATCCGGTGCTTCCTCCTCAGGAAAAAAAGGAGGAGGCTGCAGGAGGAGGCTCTGGGCTGCAGGGACCCGGAGTCCTCGCCTGAGACTCTCCCCATCCAGGCTGAAGGGTGTGCCTCTGAGTAAGCTTTCTGGAAAGCGGGGGACCTGTTTCTCTGCTTCTGCTGGTTTCCTCGGCCCCGCTGGGGAGGCACTGAGGCCGTCTGTGCCTCCCCTTCTCCCTGGAAAACCCGGGAGGAGCGGGTCTGGAGTTCAGCTTCGCCAGAGGGGCCCAGACAGTGTTTGTTCAGACATTTCTTGAGCCTGGATCCACCCCGCCCCTCTCTTCCTCTGCCCACCTCCCTGGGGCTGAGAGTGACCTCCGCCTGGGATTGGCAGCACCCGAGGGCGGGTTTGCCTCCCTGCCAGCCTCGGTGTGACACCTGCCACTGGTTCTGGGGCGAGTGCCCGCCTGGACCAGGCGTCATTGGGGGGCAGTCTCTGACGAACTCCTGCTTTGTGTCAAACAGAAGGGACCAGGTTGGAATTTCTTGGCCATTTTAACACTTGGATCCATTAACCTTACGCGTTCGTTTATTCATCAACCCTTTACCGAATGCTGGCCGGCTGCTCGCCGGGGCTGCCGCGTGAGGAGAGTCGGACGCGACCACTCACTCGCGGGGCTTTGCCGGGCCAGCCGGAGAGCACGCGATGTCGGGAGGCTGTGCCACAGGCACCTGTCTGGCCTTGGGGGGGGGGGGGGGGCGATGCTTCCAGATTGAATCCGTGGGATGCTTCCAAGCTGAGAGGTGCGGGGTCAGCCAGGGGAAGGTGTGCTGAGGGGCAGGGA